GTTTGCAAAAAATCACGCTATTATCGCCCCTCGGTGTCACTTTGTATGGGAGCGAGATGTCAGTTTGTTAGTTTAGTGTCAAACAGTGAAGTTGTCATTTTGCTTTAAATCTTAATTTAAAAATCGAGATGAAAGTGTGTGGGTGTGAAAAAAAAATATCCCTGTGCTCAGAAAACGAAGCTCTATCGGATGATGTATAAAAAACAATACATTTTTCAAAATTAAAGAACCCAATTGGTTGAAAGACTGTTGATAAATGGAGGAAAGTAGACGGCATCACCCATCGTGTAAATCGGGGATTCCTGTATTATTGTCTTACAGCAACTTACAGCAAAAACCAATAAGCAAGTACGGCAACAAGCCTATTGATTGACAATACGATTGCATTAAAAAAGGAAAATTTGGCCGAATGCCATTTCACCGAAAGCCATTGTTTTGTTGGGTTTGGCTACGCCTATGGTGGGTGGGCGATGGGCTCTTGGCTATCCTTTAACCAATCATGCTGATTTTTTTTCATACGATTAGTGTCAACCATAAACTAGTTATCTACAGAAAATCAGCTCAATTAATTATATGATTTGAGTAGTAGCTATACTGAAGATCCGAGAGATGTCGCCCCTTCAGTGGTAGGAAAATCAAAATCCACGATTTGTGACTAAACATGCTTTCACAGAAGGAAACAAATAAACGAGTGTTTTCCTTATCACCATAGTAATGTACTCGTGCAATTTTTGTGCATCTAAAACTGCCTATAAAGACGATAATGAATAAAAACTGAAAATTTTCATGCATTTCCAAATGGTTTCCTACCATTCCCACACATTCGAAAGTGACTGGCCCTCTGGATGTGGATGATGTCAAAAACAACAAAACATGATTAATTGGTTGAAGGACAGCCGAGATATAGCGGTAGATTGACGGTAACACCACAGACAAACAGACGTAACTCTTTGAAAAACTTGTTCTTGAAACATAGTATCTCTAATCTTAACCTCAGTAACGACATCTCTCTGGCTTCTCACGGGAAACAAGCTTGCTCGCTAACTCGTAAACAATATTGCATAAAAGTTCTATAGAATGTATAGAAACGTCAAAGTGATCCGATGCCAGCGCTGCGGCGAGTAGTTCGCGGAACTGATAATATTCAAATCAACCGTTAAATGCATGAACGAAGATACACAATGAAGTGTTACGTCTGTTTGTCTGTGGTAACACCCACCACCGTTTCTCTTCTCCCATCAGCGATAATTTCGATCGCTGTTTCGAGATGTTCATAGAACTTCAGAGATTCTCCGATAGAACTTCCGAAATGATCATAGAATATCCATGCAGTTCATAGAACTTCCGAGAAGTTTAAAGAACTTCCAAATCGGAACTCATGCAACGAACAGTGGTTCAGCACCAGGGGACCTTTTATCCGAAAGATGGACGTGGACGGACCTTTGGAATCAACCGGATCAAAGAGTGCTATCCACGCTCCGAACTGGACATAGTCAACTCAGCCATAATTTTGGCGGAGGACCTTTCAGAAAAACCTGCGTGATTTGCAGAGTTCCAGCGACCGTCGAGCACGTCCTCTGCGTCTGCCCCGAGTTCCATAACCTCAGGGAGACCTACGGGATTACCTTGAGCATCCAGAACCTTCTCGGAGACAACTCGCCCGCTGCTGACGCCCTCTTGGTTTTCATTAGGGAAGCCAAGTTGTATCAACAATCAATACGAAACTAACGATTTTAAACTGGCTCACTACTTGACTAGCCTATTGGTCCCAATCGACTAACGTACCCCATTATAGTATGAATTCCAGTACTACACTATGTTTTGATTAGCTATGAAAGTTTGACAGATAAAATGAGGGGTTAGTGGATTTTCCTATGTTTCGAGGGGTGAATCGATAGCTTGGGACCGAAGTTGAGCTCGTTTCTTCGGGACCTGCTGGTCTTAGTGTTACCTCTATGGTTGTATCATAGTGTTTAGATAGGTTTTTGTCATTTTCTGTTTGTCAGTTTTCTTTCGGCTGTCGGGACGGCTCCGCACGGGATGAGCCTTTGGACCTCGTGACGGTGTCGTCTTGTTCAGATCAATGTTCAATGTTTTAATTTGTCACTCCTTATGAAGAGCCAGGAAGGCTGTACTCTACAGCCTTAGCAGGCCGTGGAGCGCCATATGGGCTGAGCCGTCGGCCCTCATGACGGTATCCACCCGCAGAAACAGCAAACAAACCAACAATCAATGTACTGTAGATGTTAAGGAAAAACACTCTGTTTCAATAACCTCTCTTTTTGACAAACAGATAAACTAGCTTTCGGCTAAAAATCTCTAAAATATAGATTTAAAAAAAAAGTTAAATAATGCCATTTTGATGATCTAAATATCGCCAAAAATGCATCATAGAACTTCCGAGATGTTCATGGAAATTCCAAGATCATCCTAGAATTTGGCCAAAATCTTTAAACTTCTGGGAAGATCCTGAACGTTTTCTAAGTTCTCAAAACTTCCAGGAAGTTCATTGAGCTCTTTTAAAATAAGTTCACTGACAACCTACTACGAAGTATCCTAAACTGATACAAAGATTCCTGACGTTCTAGGAGTTTGCTGAACTTCGACAATATCTCCTGAGCTTCAACGACATTTCCTTAACTTCTACAAAATTTGTCGAACTTTTACGAAATTCCCCAAATTTTACAATTTGTTTTTGCATTTTTATGAAGTTTTACGAACTTATTCAAATTGCTACGTACTACACTAAACTGCTATAAAGATCGCTGCATTCAGATGAAGCTCGTTGCTTTTCTACAACGTTCCCTGAACTTTGAAGAATTCCGTTGATATTCTGCGAAGTTCTTTGAAGTTCTACAAAGTTTCCTGAACGTCTACGGAATGCCCTAAACTATTCCAAGTTCATTAAACTACAAGGAAGTGCTGCGAAATTACATGAAGGTCCCACGCAAAGTTCCCACTTCTACGCAATTTTCCCGATTTTTTACAATCTCCCTGAGTTTCTGTGAAGTTCTCTCAAGCTCTATAATCTCTTTCTATTAAATGTGTCGTTTTCTGAATTTCTAAGATGTCCCTTCAGTTTTACGAAGTTATATGAAGTCAAAGAGAAATCCCTTTAATGAAATTCTGCAAATCTCTACAAAAATCGATAAATTTTGTGTTTGTTTTAAGTTGTTTGAACTTCTACAAAATGATATGCTTTTCTAAGGTATTTACTGAAGTTCTACGAAGTTCACTGAGTTTTTACAAAGTTAGCTGAACTCCTATTTGCTACACTGCTTTCTATGCAACTCTCTGAACTTCTACAAAGTTTTCTAAAGCTATACGAAGTTTCCTGAAGATATATGAAGTTCTACAATGCTCTCAGAAATTTCACGAAGTTTCCCGAACTGCTACGTAGTTCTCTGAGTTCAAAAGATGTTCTCTTAACTTTTACGAATTGCGCATGGCTTCTGAATTCTGAGCTCAACTTTATAAATCTGAAATATTGAACAGTTTCCAAATTTGAAAAGTAGCGGTTGCTGTCAGCTTCTTGAATTCCTCCTACTGGAAGTTGAAGTGTCCACTGCAACAGAATTGGCAGGAACCTTTTTTTTCCTCTGTTCGGGACATAAAACCACTGCGACCAGTAATTTGATCTATTGTAGTATATCCTGTGTCCTTAGTTTAGTGCATGTCGTATTACTCCATCACTATTGAGAAATGATGAAGTATTCGATTTTTTTTACAGTTGTCATTCTTGCATTTATCGCAAGGATCCGACTCTAATTGAAAGGTCCCGCTATTTATACCCTTCGGAGTGTTGAAACACCCTCCAAAGGCGCACCCCTTTGTCAGTCAAAATGTGATTCCTTAGCAACAAAATTAAGGAATGACAACGATAATGAACAAGCATCAGAACCCTAGTCTTAACCACTTCAAACTAGGAAACAACGAATAGAAGATTAGGAATCACATAGGTGAAGACTAACTAACTCATTTTTTCCTTGTTTCAAGATCATCCTCGGTCCACGCAACCCGAGGACTTATCACTATCAACAAGGCATAAAAAGTAACAAGGACTAAGATGTGTTCCTTTGATTACTGTAAAATCCTGTTCCCCTAGTTTGAAGTAGTCAAGACTAGGAATCGGTGGTAGATCCCGTAACGTACCACGAAAAGGTGATCTACCCACGTTACGGGGCTGGCAGGAACCTTGGTATGCGCTAGAGCTTGTGGTTGTTGCATTGGTGGCAGCACTCTCAGACGCTTCCATGCCATCCGCGTCGAAGGCAGTGACGATCGGAGATTTCGATTAGTTCTTGCTTCTGGTACAAAAAGGTTTTCCACATGTCCGGTTGCTTCACTCAGTAGATGTGCGATTGCACTATCACACGCTTGTTCTTATCAGGATCGATTAATCGACTAATCCCATGTCACGCTCTCTCATCTTTCCATATGCATTTGATTTAGTAAAAATCGCACTTTTCATGGACGACACCTTAATATCAGTTTCAACACATACATTTTTTTTGTAAAGGCTAAAGTTGGGTATGTTTTAGATTGTTTAGATAGCTTAAAATCATAACTTTTTTAGATTATAGCTGGTTAGTACTTGGTCTTATATTATGAATTTGGCGGTTTCATAATCAATGATACTCCTTTTTTAAGCCACTCGAAGGTTGGCAGATCACTTCCACCAGAAACTTTCATCGTTGTATCCAAAGACAGGCTTAGAAGAAACTGTAAACAGTACGTTAGATCGTTACTCATGCCTGATGATTTATTGTGATTATGATTTTCCTAATGCCAACCAACGCAATCTGCTGATGAATCATTCCACCACATTTTTGTTTAATCTCGGACTCATAAATCCCACTGATAGGTACGGTAGCACTGACACAATCGAAAGCCACCGATGCATAATAAATGAAAGCAAAAAGGGTTCCGAAGCAAGGTATGTTGGCTAGCAAGCAGAAACAAGAAAGAAAGAAAAAAATCCCCATCATAATGTTACTTACAAAACGAAAGCTGCACTACGAAGGCATAGTAGGACCAGCCGATGACCGACACGATGAACAGCACCGGGAACCATTTCATCGTCCGGACACAGCAAACGCATCGATCCGGTCGATCCGGACCCCCAGTGCTTCCGCTCCGATGGTAGTGATCATAGTTTCCCGTTATTGACATTGCGTTTACCTTCCACTCTCCCTCACTCACTCACTACGCCCGCTCCACCCACCCCGAACTAGTAGCAGGTATCTTCGACACACACGACAATCGCTAGCTGACAATGGGAATCGTCTTGCGTTGGGTTTCGTCCTTCGCGACACTCGACACTAGCGGAAGAACACCAACACCATTGGCCCAGTAGCGCTGAGCTGTTGATTCCCTAATAAGGCTTCTCCGTGACCAACACACGGTTCAAGGGCGTTTTTTTTTTTGGAAAAAAGAAGACTTTCCTTTCGTTCGAACCGATTGCGAGTAGATAACACTGGTTCGCTTTTATTACACCATTGGCACACTCGTTCCACGATTCGACGAAAATTTCATCAACTTTTTTTTTTTTGATCCGAACGTAACAACAGTGGCACTGAGCGGAATGATTCTTGATGTGTGGGGGGCAATAATAAAACTAATAAATGGAACTATTGCAACAGTGCAGGCACACGGACTTTTATCACTAATTTACTGTGTGCACTCCTTGCATCTACTTCCAAAACTGTGCGACTGGTTTCGCGTTCGATTCACTTTTTTCCTCTGCGAAGGATGATGGCTGCTGCTGCTGCTAACTTAACAAAAACGTCACTTTTATTTTGACGTTTCGGACTGTGAGAGTGCTTGCAGGGCTGCGCTTGAGGAAAAAATCAACTCCATCTTTTCAAATAGGCGAAACTCAAGTGGTGACACATTTTTACTCGAGGTTTTTCTATAGAAATACTGAGAGGGAGAGATAGGCGGAGAAAACCGAGGAGAAGACAAAATACAATTCGGTAGCAGGGATTTGTACCTAAATTATCTTGCAACCCTTGCTAGAAGCCAGCATGACTATTATTTTTGATTCGATTTACGTGCAGAATAATAATTGATTGCATCGCAATATTTTGCACATTTCTAGATGCCATTAATTAACCAACTAAGATCAATTAATCAATAGAGTTAGAATATAATTTTTGATTCCAAAAACTAGTTGAATTTGAGAAGCACACGAAACCTAGGGGAAGGCCAGCTCCAAGTATAAGCATCAACGCCGATGGTGGAAATATTAAATATTTTAATATTTGTGATATTTGTAAATGTCATACTTAGTCTGACAGTTGTTTTTTTTTTGTTTTTGACTATTTTTGGTTTTAAGTGTACATTTGACATTCGTTTAATCAAAAATGGATTTCACACGAGAGGCAAGTTATTCCCTTTACTATTATTCTAATATTGTTTAAAATTTGAATATTTGGTTCTTTGATAAAAATAAATTGTAATGAAACTAGTTAAATTAAGAACATATTGATTATCTGCAGGAAATAAACCGATGTTCTGGGAGAACATACAATTATCAATAGGAGTTGTTCCTCTCAATCTCCAGCGCATTCTTGAGTTTCAAGGATGCGCCACTAGCGCTATGCTTGGTGACATCACGGACGAAGATCTGTGTGCCATAGAGGTCGATATGCATGAACCTCGGTTCAGAGAAAATGCGTGAAATATACGGGATTTACGCAGAAAACTCGGAAAAATTTACTTTTCTCAGAGGGGAGAAAAAATTAATTCTGAAGCTGGCCAACACCATTCGGGATGCAGGCTTGGATCAATTCATGCCATCCAGCAAAACGAACAATTCGAAATCCGACTTAATAGATTCATTTGAATCGGAAGTGTTAGAAAGAATCCAGTCATACTTCAAAGAACGGTATACATTTGTTTGAATTATTTTTCCAACTATTTATCAAATGTTGTGAATCTGTGTTGATTGATTCCAATTGAATGTTTTTATTTTTATGTTATACATAGCAAGAACGAATCGAAAGACTTCGTCAATTTTTTTGCTGGACTCGGAAATCTATCGGCAAGTGTATTTCTGTCGAAAGGAGGATACAGAATGGAAATCATTACCTGTGTTCTCAAGTTCTCAATTATTATTCCCTATTTATTTAAAAACACGCAGATGCACATGTAAAACAAGGAAAAATAATCGAAGTTGAAGAATGGGGCGGGGGTCTTATCTGGGTAGGATGACTGTAGCCTGTCTTTTACCAACACGAAATTAAAAAAAAATATCGACACGCCTAAGCCTCCGTGCATCCTCGGTAAAACACAACACTTGATCTTGCTGGCCGTCACCACCGAAATCCACTTCTTGTCCTCCTAAATTGGACATTCCTTGGTACCCAAGGGGTTGGTCACTCTACACAGTGTGCCAAAATCAAACTTGGGCACACCCGGGTGCAGTCATTGGCGTTGTTTGGCACTCATGGTTACAATTTTTATGATCTTTAAAGTTACTGGCAACACTGGACTTTTTCAAAACAACCATGAATCTCCACCAAGTCTCTCCATGGATTCTCAAAATTGTTACATCCGTGACCGCAGTCGCATCCAAATTTCCTCCCAGACGAAGAACAGCTAACAGCGGTATCTTGAACTGACCGAGGTTTCCGGCCATGGCTACACGAACTAGCGATGCAGCTCCCACGGCTGCGGCTGCTTCCAATGCTGCTGCTGCTGCTACTGGTCCGTCTTTTTTGGCGAATTTTAGAGGAGACGGACCAGCAGAAGGATCAACAGCAGCAGCATTGGAAGAAGCGGCAGTCGTGGGAGCTGCATCGCTAATTCGTGTAGCCGTGACCGACGCTGGAAATCTTGGGCCGGTCACGACAAGCGGTGCTTGAGTTTTAATCGGAAAGTCAACAACCAAACAAAAACTATACCATCTGACCATTCGAACTGCTCGAATACATGGCGGTGGCTTCTACACCAACCATTCCATCGTCCAACATATATTGTTGGAGAGCCGTCTTGGCAAGATCTCAAGTAATTCAACAAATTATTTTGACTCTCCTGCCTTTTTGCATTTCCAACTAAAAACTTCATAATGAACGGAAGTTTTGTGCATTTGTGCTCGATCGCGCTGTGGTTGCACTTCATGATGGCGTTTGGCTACGCTCGGGAACTCGACCAATCCGGAACAGGAACTTTCCGATTTCAACGGGAACATTCGCACTTGCGACGGGTTGCAGTCCTTGGTGGTGAATGCAGTCAGCAGCAGATCCTCGAACGGCATACGGGTGGGAAAAAGTGGAGAATGCGATTTTTGCTGGCCTGGGAAGCAATTGTTTTTGGAGGCGCTGTAGACCTTGAAGCTGATCGAATTGTCCGGCAGAGTGTACGGGTTGGTGGACTCTGACAAGTAGTTCTGCTTAGAAAATTGACTGGTCCGTTTCGGGTCAGCGGTGCTTTCTTCATCAGTCCGACGTATGTTCCGGCCGGTGTTGGTTTCCAGTTTTCCGACGGACGAAACTCGGGCGGTGAAAAATTCGGTGCAAATTCGTTTTCTCCGCCGCCTCCTAGAAGGGTTGGTTGACTAATGATTGACGTTCGTTGTGTGGGGTCGGCCTTCCGCTGAAGATGGAAGGATCGTGTAGCAACGGAGCTCGTCCGTTGCAGGCATCCTTGGAGACGGATGCATCCAGTGTGTAGTCCCAACTGGAGACATTGAAAAACAAAACAAAAACAAGAGCTGTTAATATACCGGGTTGCCAAACAAGGCATTATTCACAAGCAATCAAAAGTCAGTTCAATGACTTCTTGGCACTGCCGGTACAGCTGCGGCACACTGAGGTACACTGAGAAAAAAGTTGGCGCAAAACAAGTGTGTAGAGTGACCACTAGACTGATGCAAAATTTGAAATTTTCGCTCCATAGTGCTCAAATTGGGTTCCAAAATTTGAACTCATTTAGTGAAAAACTGACTTGGCACAAACCATTTGAAGTTCATTTGGGAATTACTATGGAGAAACCATAATTTCGGTTCATATCGATCTCAAAATTCACCAGTTCATTCTACTTTAAAAAATGATAGCTGAGCTTGTTGAAAAATTTTTCAGCTACAACTTTGTTGAAGACCACTTTTCGATCAAATGTAAGGAACAAAAATTAGTAATGATTCGAGTCACTAATGTCTTATGATTATGCTCAATCAACTGTTCAGCAGGCAACATTGGTGTTTATAACGCGTAGAATAGAGGACAAAAATCATGGCTACTATGTCACACTGCAGAATACAGTGTTGCCCACAAAACAGTTGCTTGATCATGCCATAAGATTATCAATCTCTTAAACAATTAATAACTATTTAATTTGATGTTTGGCTGAAAAACAGTATTCCGCAAAGTTGTAGCTGATAAAAATTTTCATAAGAATACACAGCAAAAAAAGTTGTTGAATATTACATCGAAACTGCTGCAACCAGGTCAATCCATCGGTTGAGTAATATCACATTGTACGATGTACATCGATTTTGCGAACAAAATTACATCCATTGATGTAATATTGTATCTGCTTTTTGCTATTACATCATTATTTAATACATCAGCTTGAATTACGTTGATCGATATTACATTTTTTTTTGCTGTGTAGCAATAGAATATGTTAACAGTACAATATGTAAAAAGGCTAGAAGACAATGAACAAAAAGTTTTGTTTTCCCATAGTAATTTCCATATAAACTTCAAATGGTTTGTGCCAAGTCAGTTTCTTATCAAATGAGTTTAAACTTTCGGAGGCTAATCAGGACCCGATTTGAAACTGTTTGAACACTGTGGAGCGAAAATTTCAAATTTTGCATCAGTCTAGTGACCACCCCTTGTTGGTACCTTGGTATATGATATCAATATACACGTTCCGTGGTCGTTTTCGCTTGATTTGCCATGAGCCTGGTGAGAATTGCTGCTGGATTTTGTAATGGACGAACGGCTAGTGCCGAAGCCAAAAACGAAAAACTACGCAAAAATGATGACAAACAGAAAGCTGCATCAGTAAACATAAACAACAACGGTGAAACGTCATTGAGTTCACGATGAACGCTATATAAGGTAAGATATTCCGGTAAATTACATTTGCATAGTGACGTCATTCCTATCCTTTTCGTAAACAAACGGAAATATTAACGAAGTCGATATTTTTAATTTAATCTTTCGGGCGTAATTTTAAGAATTAGAGCCTAGGAGAGCCTTTTGCTGAACAAAATGAAGTGATTTTCTGTGTCTGCAATGTATTTACACTGTACAATTCGAGTTATTCCCCTGCACACTATTGAAAGATAGTAATGACGTCATTAGTCGACATTCAAACTTGATGTTTACAACCAAGAGCATATTACCTTGTTTATGTATACCGTGATTGAGTGTATTCGTTATAGCTACACTGTCAAAATGGTGTACTTTGTAGATTTTCGTTTGACAGTTAATATCATTAATATTTATATTAAAATCTATAATAACTACACGGATAGAAATCTCCTTATACCTTTTGGCTCAAAACTTACTTTCACCGATCATTATAACACAATTATTAACAGAGCTAACAACATGCTTGGTTTCATAAAACGTTTCTGCTATAACTTTCACGATCCGTATATGATTAAAACATTGT